GAGCCGCCAACGCGATGCTGACGCGGCGAGTCTTTTGGTGGAGAGCGGTAGATTTAATCTTGATCAGTGACGCAAGCGCACTTTGTTTCGAGCTGCTGCCAGCAGGCGCATTTCGTGCCTTTACTCTGTTTAATCCTGCATTTTCTTACTGACCAATGTCTGACGGCGCGGTGTTTGCAAAGAAGCCCGAGCTGGCGCTGGCCCAGCACAAATTCGCAGCGCTCAATGGCACTGCCGAGCAGCGTAGCCAGGCGCTGCAGCTGCTGGTCGACGGAATCAAGCAGGACAAGATGGCAGCATTCTACACGCAGCTGGTCGGCGAAGGCGTGCTAAAGTCGGATGCGGCACTGCTGAAGGAGCTTGAGACGGCCAGCGCAGCCGAGCTGGCGACGCTGGACAAGAACGTCGAGGAAGCAAAGGAGGAGCACGGCGATCTGGAGCAGAACGAAAGCAGCATCCACCGAGCAGTGTTCCTAGCGCAGATTGGCGAGGAGGAGAAGGCACATGCGGCATATGAGGAAGTGCTACAGCGGCCGACGACAACGCTGAACCAGAAACTGGACATTGTGTTCGGCAAGCTCCGGCTGGGCCTGTTCTACTACAAGCCGCAGGCCATCCAGAAGGAGATTGAGCGCGCGCACGAGCTGGTCGACAAGGGCGGTGACTGGGACCGGCGCAACCGGCTCAAGGCAATTGAGTGCCTGTGGCACTGCAGCCAGCGGCAGTTCAAGGAGGCCAGCGCGCTGTTTATCGAGTGCCTGAGCACGTACGCCAGCCCTGAGCTGATGCCCATGTCCGAGTTTGTCTGCCATGGCGCGCTGGCGTGCGCGGTGGTCATGTCGCGGTCGGACATCAAGAAGAAGGTCATTGACGCGCCCGAGGTGGTTGAAGTGGTGGGCGCGATCCCCAACGTTGACAAGATGCTGCGGTCGCTGTACGACTGCCGCTACGCCGACTTTTTCGTGGCCCTGGCGGCGGTTGAGACGGACCACCTCAAGGTGTCGCGCTACCTGAACGCACACCGCCAGTTCTTCACGCGCGAGATGCGCATTCGCGGGTACGCACAGCTGCTCGAGTCGTATCTGTCGCTGACAATCAAGTCGATGGCCGACGCATTCGGCGTGACGCAGGACTTTATCGACAAGGAGCTGTCGCGCTATGTGGCTGCCGGGCGCCTGCACTGCGTCATCGACAAGGTTGGTGGCATTGTAGTGACAAACCGCCCCGACACCAAGAACGCGCAGTACCAGGGCATGATCAAGCAGGGCGACCTGCTGCTCAACCGCATCCAGAAGCTGTCGGGCATCATCTCGATGTAGAACGGTTTATTAGAGCTTGTGGACCTTCCTCAGGTGTGTCATTAAATTACCTCGCTGCGTAAACGCTCGCAGGCAGTCCGGTACGTGGCACTTGAATGGCCGGTCGCCTGAGTGCGTGCGCTCGTGTGTGTGCATGTTGCCCAGCTGCGGGAATGCCTTGCCACAGCCCGGGTATCGGCATGCATACGGCTTGTATCCCGTGTGCGACCGGATGTGGATGTTGAGGTGCGCGCGCTGGTAGAACACCTTGCCACAGCCGGCAACTGTGCACACAAATTGCCTTCGCCGCCCGCCGCTGGCCTCGCTGGCCTCATGTGCAATTTGGTTGATAATCCGCAGGTACCCCTCGCTCAGCGCCTGCTGCTTGGCTGCACTGAGTGGGCTTTGCTCGGTGCTCTTTGGCCGCCCGCGCCGGATCTTGGCCACCACCACCAGCGACTCGGGTATCTGCGGCGCCACGGTGCTCGTCGCCGTGCTCTCGTCCGAGCTCGCCTGGGCCACCACTACAGCCAGTGCGTCAAGCGCGGTAGACACTTGCATTCTGTCGGTAAACCGTTTAAACCTTCAAGTTGCAGAGACAAGTGCAGAAGCAAGCCCTGGCTCACTGCGCATCCCGAACATTAAAAAAAAAAAAAAAAAGACAACTCGACCCTTGATCAGATTCGATCGCCCCTGGCATGTCGCTCCTCGCTCCTTCGAACGACGTTTCATCGAATGCGAGGAACGTGTCTTGCCTGGCTATATAAACCAGAGATGTTGCCAAATCTCTCCTTTGCCCAGCCGACACCGCCACCGCTTTTTAACCACATCTAGCACCCAGTGTTCTCGCAACCAGCCATGCACTCTCCGCGTCATCTACCTGGCGACATCGTTCGCCTTATAGCGCTGGCATTCGCCGCGTTGCCCGCTGACGGCTTTGCGCAAGAACCGGTCCACGCCAGGGAACTGCTTGCCGTATCCCGGCTCTGGCGCGCTGTAGCTCTTCCCATTTACTGCTCGTGCATAACAATATGCACTCTTGCCGACCGCAGGTCATTTTACTGGGCGCGCAAGGGACTGTCGGCTGCCAAAGCGTGCGCGCTAGGATGGCAGCATTTTGCTACGCAGGCTGTGGTCGTCGTCTCTGGCCGCGCCGTAGAAATCGAGGACCCGCTGGACACACTTGCCACCTTTGTTGGTGTGTTTGCGAGGATATCCCGAGTAAAACTGCATCTTCTGGCAAACCCCGGGCCAGTTTTTGGTGCACTTGAAGCAGCTTTCCCAGCCATGCGGCAAATTAAAGTGGAGGCCAACAATGCCCGGATATCGCCTACAATGGATGCGCCCGTCAGCAGCCTCACGCACATAGAGGTCACGGCTTGCCCTGCATTTAGCATCTCGACGGCTCCGCTGCCCAGCCTTCGAGTGCTCGTTCTGAATATGACTGGCACCAGTGTGCATGACGCGCTTACCTTTGCGCACCAGCACGCAGCCACACTTGAGCGCCTCGAAGTAAAGTATATTCACATTCGCCACTGCCGGGGCCTGCTTTACAACGGTTTTGGACAAGGTGTTGTGTACCCACATGTGCGTGAGCTGACGCTGGACGTGCTTGGCGCCTACGACGACAGTGTGCTGCAGCACCGGATATCGCCAGATGGCAACCCGTTTCCCAGCCTGCAACGCCTAAGCTGCGGCGCCGTATATCCGTTTGCCAACAATGTCCTGCTCCGCGGCGCGCACCACTCCCTGCGCCGACTTATAATTTCTATAGATGCTTCAGTCGTCGCCTGGCTGCTGCCCGAGGCCACCAGTTTGCGCAAATATGCACGGCTTGCAGGAATGGAAGCGCGTATAATCTCACGCGCGGGTGTTCACGGCAACATGGACATTCATGCACGTGTGCTGGATGCCGCCTTTCAGGTGCACCAGCTGCACTGGCTGCGAATACGCTTTCCAAATCTGCAAGTGGCCGAGTACAGCAGCAAGCCCCGTAATAAAATTAAATTATGATACATAAATATCGGTGCAGCTAACAAACCTGCTGGATTGCGAGATAAGACTTTACTAGATTTCGAAAGTGCCGTGCTTCCAAATTCCACAGCTGCGCTTCCCAGGTTCCCAATTAGTAAACGTTGGGTGGCATTCCAACATACCTAAGCACTGGGGCAATACCCCTGCTTAATCTATTCCTAGCTTTGTTAAAAAGAAGATTTAATTTAACAAGTGTATATTACTTTTATATGGCACAGTGAAACAGCGTCGTCAGCTATTATGTTAATAAATCACATAGCCAGTGGGAATACGTTGTGCCTAAGCTCCTAGAAGTGCAGACTGGCTATAAAATAAATGAACATTTCCCACCTCTTTCATTTGCCCCATCTATCAGAATTATTTCTAGTCGTCTATCCTTTTGTCTTATCTAACACAACTATACCAAAAAATTACATTTGCAGTCACCATGTCACAAGTGTATTCCACTAGCAACAAGAAACAGTGTGTAATTTGTAAAAACTGGTATGGAGGCCTGAACTGCCCGCGCACACACTAGACTAAGCTAAAAATGCCTTAGATTGCTCAACAGACACCTGGATATTGAGTATTCTTTTTTTGTGGTTTGTTTCAATAAAAATGTATAGTAAATTGGACACTAAATAGTGTGTGCCACTTGGAACTACTGTTAATAAGAATTTGTGTGTGTGCAAAAAAGCAGTACTACTGTGTGAGTCACAGTGCCAGCAGCATGCTGAGGGCATGCTCATAACAGCATATACATTGATGCAAATGCAGTGGAAGCACATTGTTGATTCTTTCTTAGTGTTGTCATATTGACATTTACTGGCTGCTAGCCATGATCTACTATGCAGCATACACAATTTATAGGATGGGTATACTGTGTTGCCAACACTGAAATTGCTGCCCAAACTGATAATTTGTTTTCCAGTGTTACAGATAACCAGATACAGTAGCAAGCTTAACAAATAAATCAAATCAAGGTGATAATCATGTGACCATTGAGATTCATTTAGCACCTATTATGCAAAGTCCCAAAGTGCACATGTGCCAGGGCAGAAGACCAATGGATAATTAATTGCTGTCTTTGTCTTAAAGAGGCAGTAATTTAGCATGGATGAATTAGTGCCACCTGGTGCAGTGTAAATTTCTGTCCAGTTGGGGGGCACCTGTAAGATTGGCCAGCCAGAAATAGGCTGCTCTATCAAGCTATTTGGAAGTAAGTACTGGTATAAAACAAATGTATTTGCACATATGCATTTCCATCACCCAATTCACAAAAAAATTTCCATACTTGCCATTTCCAGATCTCCAACTGCCACCCTAACCACCAACTCACTGTTGTATCTATGTCTCGTTGGTACTCTGCTGATGATAAGCGGACGTGCAATGGCTGCGGAAACCAATATGGTGGCATGAGTTGCCCACGAGGGTGCTAGCTTTAGCTGCTGTTAAACTGTAGCATTTTTTAGTTAGTTTCAACATAAAGTGCTTGAATCGTTAAAATAATAATGAGCAGCGTGCTGCTGCTTTGCAAGGGCGTCTGGAACTTACAAGCAGTGCAATAGGCAGGCTAAAGAAAGAATGCTACAAAGAAACAGCGGGTCTTTGCAAAAACGCCAAGCCGGGGAGTGACTAGTAGTGCTAGCTTTAGCGTCTGAGCGTAGTTATCTGCTTCGCTGTAGTTTATCCGCAATGGTCCAACGGCTAGGATTCCACGCTTTCACCGTGGCGGTCGGGGTTCGATTCCCCGTTGCGGAACGCCTTTTTGCCGCAACCGGCCAAAGACCGCCTTTTTAGGGGTATTTTTTTTTGCGCGGGGCAGGGAGGTTCGCACGCCAGACTCGCAGTAGTAGCGGTCGCCAGCGGGCCGATCAGCAGGGTGGAGCTTACTTTGGGCGATCGCCGCGACTCCTGGCGGATTGAGCGTGAGCCTATCACAGTCGGCGGGCGTGTGCATGGGCGGCGAACATGCGCTTTTTCTTTTCAGCAGCGTATTTTTAAGGAGACACAACACTTTTGTAGTATCAAACATGGACGCAGAGGCAGACGCGCCGCTGCTGCCGCTGTCGCCGGTGTCGCCGATGTCGCCGGGGGCGGGGCAGCGGACAATACAGCTGCACCGGGGCAGCGGCGACGGCAAGGGCCCTCCATGGATGGGCGAGCGGGGGGCGCAGGTGGCGGCGCTGGCGACGGCGGGGACGCAGCGACTGCGGCTGCCCAAGCGGCGCGCGCAGTCGGCGGGACGTAGCAGCACGTCGTCGGGCACGGCGGTCGACGGGATCCCCGAGGACAGGATTGCCGACGGCAGAATCACCGACGGCAGGGTCCCCGAGGACGGCGTCAGCATCCAGGTGGGGCACGTGCGCGGCACGCGCAGCCTGAGCGCGGCGCGCGGGATAGCGCTGAGCGTGTCGGGGCGCGGCGCGGCGGGGCAGCGGCTGAGCCAGGGCGCGCAGGTGGGGCCGGCGTCGCCGCCGCTGCCGATCGCGGGGCGGCGGCGGTTCAACTCGGCAATGTCGGCGTTCCGGGGCGAGGGCGGCGGGACGGAGCTGAGGATCCGGCTCAGCGTGGACGCGAGCCAGTCGCGGAGCTACCGCATGCTGCTGGCGGGCGACTCGGTGCTGGCGGATCTGCGCGAGCTGGAGGACGAGCACCAGGGCGCGGTGGCGGGCGCGGCGCTGGGCGGGCGGCTGGTCGCGCTGTACTTTGCGGCGGCGTGGAGCGCCGACTGCGACGACTTCACGGCGCAGCTGCGCGGCGTGGCGGCGGCGCACGGCGACGATCTGGCGGTGGTGCTGGTGTCGCTGGACCACCACCCCGCCGACATGGCGCGCATGATGGCCGGCACGGGCTGGCTCGGCGTCCCGTGGCGCGAGCATGCGCGGCGCCGCGCCCTGGCCGAGCGCATGCACGTGTCGGCCACGGATCTGCCGCACCTGGTGGTGCTGGACGGCCACACGCACCACGTCGTTTCGGCCGCCGCACGCAGCGAGCTGGAGCGCCGGCCGCTGACGTGCGTGCGCGAGTGGAAGAAGAGCCGCGCGGGGCTGTCGTGGTGGCGGCGCGCGCAGCCGTGGTAAGCGACGCAGGCTGCCCGGTCCGGACGCAGTTGCACTTTCTGGCTATTAATAATCATGTTTCTATTGCGCGTAGGGCCTCGGGGTGTCTGGCGTCGCTGGCGCTGTGGTATCTGGCGCTGTTTGTGCTGGCGCCGGCTTACTTGCGTGAATGAGGGATCCGATCCGACAAACCCGCCATTACCAGCCACGCGCCATTGTTTTGACACCGGATTTACGCTTTCTTCTTCTCAAGCGCCGCCGTCTTTTTTTCCCCTTGTACACACCTTTTTCCAAACCAGCGGTATAATTCGGATGCATTCAGCCAGACAAGACCGCTCGGAGCCGTCGCCCGCAAGCCGCCCCATTGCCGCCGTGCGCGCGCGCAACTACGCGCTGCAAACGCAGGCCCACGCGCAGGCCCTGGCGCCGCCTGGCGGCCAGGCGCAGCGCGGGCTGCGGCGCAACCGCTCCAGCGAGGTATCGCCGGTGCGCGCCGACACGGGCTCTGCACGGCGCGTGGCCGCGCGCATTGGCACCAGCGGCCGCCAGCAGTCGGAGCCCGGCGCGCTGCCGCCCGCACGCCGCCTGCGCACTACACCCAGCGCCAGCGACCTTCGCACGCAGGCTACGCCGCTGGCCCGCCAGCGGCGCGTGGTTGGCGGCAGCCTAGGCCGCGCAGCCTACACCACAAGCCCCACCACCGCCACGCGCCCGGCTCCGCGGCGGCCGCTGCCCTCGCCGTTGGCGTCGCAGGCGTCGCAGGCGCCACAGATTTCGCAGGTGTCGCAGGTGTCACAGGTGTCGCACATCCCGCGGCCGGCCCTGCAGCCCGAGCTGGACAGCCGCGAGCCGCACACGTTCATCATGGACACGTACCAGGAGCGCACGCGCCAGCTGAGCCTGGAGCGCCAGACCAACCGGCAGCTGCTTGCCGAGGTGAAGAATATGCACAGCTACGTAGTGGCCCGGGAGCTGGAACTCAAGCACGCGGAAGCCCAGGCCGCCGACGCGCTGGCCCGCGCCAATGCCGCCGAAAGCGAGTGCCTGCGCCTCACAAAGGAGAAGCGGGCGCTGGAGGACTATTACGCCGCCCAGGCCAACGTCGTGCGCACCCAGGCCGCCGCGCTCGCCCGGACCGGCGACGCAAGCTCGGACCCTGCGGACTGCAGCGATTGGCCGACCACGTGCGCGCGCGTGGCCTCGCTGATCGGGACGGGCCGGGGCGCCGACGAGGACCTGGCCAGCCCCAAGACAAAGCCCTCGCTGTTCACCCCACGCCAGCGGCGGCAAGCGCAGGCGCAGGAGGCGCGGGCCGATCGGCGGCGCAGCACCATGCTGTTTGACGGGCTGATCCGGCCGTCGGCCGCCGGGCCCGAGGCGGCCGCATGCGAGCGCTGCGACCAGCTGCTCGAATCGCTGCAGACCGTGCAGCTCGACAACGACTACTACCGCGAGGCCAACGCGCGTCTGCGCGACAGCCTGTCCGACACCGTGTCGCGCCACAACGCCATGGTGCGCGTCTTTGAGCGCGAGCGCACGCGCCGCCGAGAGCGCCGAGCGCAGGAGCTGGCCGACGCGTCGCACGTGGCCGCCCGCGACCGCGCCCAGCTCAACGCGCAGCACCGCGCCGAGCTGGGCATTGTTGATGCCGACGACCTGGCGCGGCGCTTTGACCGCGCCGTCCACATTGCGTAGCCCCCCTGTTTCTTTCCTCGTCTGTACATGTGCTTTCCTCTTGTTTTTGGCAAATAGAATTCATCTAGACACCGGCCCCCCCTGCACTGCGCATTGGCCTGGCACCATCTGCCGCCGCGTGAAATATGTGGGTGTGTATATTCATATTGCCCCCTGGTGGCTAAACGGCGCCTACGGGCTGCCCCCCTCGCGCTCGCACTCGTACACGCGCGCAATCTTGAACGCAATGTCCAGGCTCTGCTCGTAGTTCAGCCGCGGGTCGCAGAAGGTCTGGTAGTTGCTGGGCAGGTCCGAGTGCGACAGCTCCTGCGAGCCGCCAGTGCACTCGGTCACGTGCTCGCCGGTCAGCTCCAGGTGCACGCCCGACAGCCGGCTGCCCAGCTCGCGGTGGATGGTGATGCTGGCGGTGATCTCGCTGATGATGGCGTCGAACGAGCGCGTCTTGTGGCCGGTGGGCGCCGTGGTGGTGTTGCCGTGGCACGGGTCGCAGCACCACACGGGCTTGTGGCGCGTCTCCTGCACGGCCCGCACGTGCGCCGGCAGGAACTCGGCGATTTTGCCGGCGCCGTACCTGGTGATCAGCGTCACGCGCCCGGACTCAAAGTCAGGGTCCAGGATGTCCAGCGCGCGCACCAGCTCGGCCGGCTCCATGGTCGGCCCGACCTTGACGCCGACCGGGTTGCGCACGCCGCGGAAGTACTCGACGTGCGCGCCGTCCAGCTGCCGCGTGCGGTCGCCGATCCAGATAAAGTGCGCCGACATGTTGTACCAGTCGCACAGCTCGGGCGCCAGTGCCTTGCGCGGCGGCGTGGCCGGCTCGTACGGCCGCTTGCGCGCACCCGCGCTGCGCGGCGCCTCGCCCAGCGCCTTGGGCCGCGGCCGCGTCAGCGCCTGCTCGTACTCCAGCAGCAGCGCCTCGTGCGACGTGTACAGATCCACCGTGTTGAGCGCCGACGCCTGGCTGCTGGTCGCGCCAATCACCTCCATGAACCCCAGCGCGTCCGTCAGCCGGTTGACTATGGCCTGGTACTCGCGCCGGATCTCGGGGTTGCGCACGTGGCCCAGGTCCCACGCCTCGGGCCGGTTGATGTCGGCAAACCCGGCGTCCAGCAGCAGCCGCACGTAGTTGACTGTCGACGCCGAGTGGAAGTACGCCGCCAGCAGCCGCTGCGGGTCCGGCCGCCGCTGCGCCGGATCGATGCTGTTGACGTTGTCGCCGCGGTACGACAGAATCCGCTCGCCGTCCACGGTCTCGTACGGGCTCGACCGCGGCTTGGCGTACTGCCCGGCCATCCGCGCAATGCGCACGATTGGCAGCCGCATGCCCCAGATCAGCACCAGGCTCATCTGCAGCAGCACCTTGAGCTTGTCCTCGATGGCTGCCGGGTTGCAGTAGTCGAATGACTCGGCGCAGTCGCCGCCCTGCAGCAGGAACGCGCGGCCCTCGGCCACGTCGCGCAGCTGCGCGCGCAGCCGGTCAATCTCGCGCGACGACACCAGCGGCGGCAGGTTGGCTACGCGCCCCACCACCGCCTCCAGCTCCTTGGGGTCGTCGTACACCACGTCCTGCTTGATGGGCTTGCTCCGCCACGAGTCGGGGGTCCACACGCTCTCGGCCATGGCTGATAATTAGAAGTGCACGGTTGGAAGGATGTGTGAATCTGGAAGCTGCAGCCGGGGGGAAGGGGAGTCGTGAAAATATGGCTCGCCTCTGGGAAAAGCGCCCACGAGGCGGCGCTTTAAATAGGCGCCTCGTCTCCCGCCAGGGCCGTTCGCAGGGATCCATGCGCCGCGCCGATTGGGTCAACGGTGCTTATTGACACATCAATCGCACGCCGTTGGGGGGAGGGGCCTTGTCACACACCAAGCAGCGGTGGCTGCGAACGGAGCTGAACGTGCGACCCACACTTGCCAAGGCCAGCCCCGCTGGTGGCGGCTGCTTTCTCTGTGCGCTGTCAAAACCGGTCGTCATCCCGCCCGCCCCCCCGCGTTCCCGGAAAGAAG